CCATTTGTTAACACAGTCCATGCCATTCAGATCCTGATTAGTATAACCTCAGGCAGTCAGTAGAGTTATCTCCAGGCGCTGGGCCCCAACTATTCAAGGAGGGTTGGGAGAAATGGGGTTTGTTGAGTTTCCCCATAGGCCAAACTGATTATTTGAATATAACAAACACAACAATACTCATAAAATCATCTTACCTACCCAACACAGGTCAGCTAGCTCCACTCCACAGCCAGTGTATAATCTTGTCTTTGTATATCTTGTGGGTACTCGTTCAGTTCCTTCACTATCAATTCATCTGTTCACTCTTCAACTCACTCTTAGCACTTGATTGGCCCACTCCCTTAACTACTTATACATTCTCTTGATTATATTCCTTGAGCCATTTTTTGGCCAAAGATTATTACTGGCAGTATGCTTCAGCCTATTTGCACCCGTCACATCCCTCTCCACTTCCCTTTACATCGCCCCTGCCTGCCTTTGGTCCTTTGGAGGTTGTCCTGTCCAAATTTCACAACCATAAAGTATAGCAGAGGGATTTTATATTCATAAGATGAGTTTTTATATTGGACAGCAGCTTAGCACTAGACTATAATTTAATGTTTGTTCAATTTATGAGATTAACAGGACAGGAAAGAAGGGGACACAGTACAATGAAGGGAGAATGGGAAAAAGAGCTTAAGAAAAGTCTGAAACAGGGGCAGCTAGGTTGCTCAGTGGATAGAGCACTGGCCTTGAAGTCAGGAGGACCTGAATTCAAATCTGCCCTCAGACCAAACACTTGACATTTACTAGCTGTATGATCCTGGGCAAGTCATTTAACCCCAATTGCCTTAAAAAAAAAAGTCTGAAACAGGGAGTGTGGCGAGGAGACTGCAGTAATGAAGGGAAGAATTAAGAATAGAGGCAACATAAGGATGGGAGGATAGGAGCAGCTCTGGGATGGGGGATATAGAAGCATTTTTGATGGGGGTTACATGCTTCCTTATACTTTGAAATAAGGATGCAGTTATTTGGGGTCAAGTTTTAACTTCATAAATACTATTTGTTTCCATGTTTCATTTGTAGAGTTAGCCTAACAAAGACACTTTCTTCATATCTAAGCATCTATCATAGGGTGGTGCTGGCTCCACAAAGGAGCCCGGGCAAATGTTCATAATGCCCCCAGCGGCCAAGGCTATTGATTGCTGTTTCATCGGCTTCTCTCTGAAGGTGCAAAAAATTAAGATTAATGCACAGATTACCCAGCAAATGTTGGTAGTCCAGTCCTTTCCTATAGGCTAAAAGGTCAAGATAAATAAAAAGGACTTATTAAGCACCTACCATGTGCCAGGCTCTGTGTTAAGTGCTGGAGATACTGAAAAAGTCAAGGGGCTCCCTCATTAGGCCATAGGGAGATACTATGCAAATAGCTATATAGGATAAATTGGAGTTAATCAATAAAAGGAAGGCACTAGCATAAAGTAGGAACAAGAAAGGTTTCTTTAGAAGGAAGGACTTCAGTTAAACCCTGAATTAAGCCAGGGAAGCTAGGAAGCAAAAGTGAAGGAGAGAAGAGTTCTATACATGGGGATAGAGAGCCTGAGAAAATTCTTGGAGTTGGCAGATGGAGTATCTAACACAAGGAACAAGGAGGCAAATGTCACAGGATCAAATGAGGAAAAGAGGGAGAAGAGGGAAAGGGAGATTAAGGGAGAGGACTGGAAAGCTAGATGATTTTATATTTGTTTCTGGAGGTTGATTGGGGGAGGGATTGAAATGGTCAGACTTGCAGGTTCAGACGATCAATATGACAGGTGAGTGGAGGATTGACTGGAGTGGGGGGACAGCTGGGGGAGGAGACACTTGAGGCTAGGACAGGGGCCAGTAAGTTATTGCAGTAGTCGAGGTATGAGGTAATAAGGGTCAGCAGGAAGGTGGTGACAGTGTCAAAGGAAAGGAGGGCATCTACAAGGCAGAATTGATAGGCCTGGACAACTGATTAGATAAGGGGAGGATGGAGGAGGTGGTAAGAGAGTGAGTCAAGAATGACACCTAAATTTTGAGCCTGGGTAACTGGAAGGCTGGTAGCATTCTTGACAATAATAGGTAAGTTCAGAAGAGGGAAAGGTTTGAGGGAAAAAATTAGCTCATTTTTGGACATACTGAGTTTAAGATGTCCACAAGACATCCAGTTCATAGCTAATAGAAATGTGAGACTGGAGAATGGGAGAGAGTTTAGAACTGGACAAATAGATGTGAGAATTATCTGCATAGAGATAATTGAGTCCAATCCATAGGAGCTGATAAAATCACCAAATGAAATAGTAAAGAGGGGGAACAGGGCCCAAAACAGAACCTTGGATGACACTTGTGATTAGCAAGCGAGACACCGATGAAAATTTAGGAGTGGTCAGACAGATAGGTGGTGAAACAGGAGATAGCCATGTAGTGAAAACCTAGAGAAGAGGGAATCAAGAAGAGAGTGATTAACAGTATAAAAGTATAGAGACAGGGAGGCTGAGAATTGTAAAAATTTAGTGATTGGGGGCTCACTGGTAACTTTGGAGAGAACAGTTTCCATGGAATGATCAGATCCGAAGCCAGATTGTAGAGAGCTAAGAAGAAAAAATGAGAGGAGAGGAAATAGAAGTACTGATTTGGTATAGTGGAAAGGTCACTAAGTTTGAAGCCAAATGGCCCAGGTTCTAGGCTTTTCTCTTTACTAGCTAAGAGGCAGTTTGGTGAAGAGCACAGGACAATAACTTTAGAGACAGAGTTGTTTTGTTGTTCAGTTGTTTCAGTCATGTCCGACTTTTCACGATCCCATTTGGGGTTTTCTTGGCAAATATACTACAGTGGTTTGCCATTTCCTTCTCCAGCTCATTTTACAGATGAGGAAACTGAGGCAAACAGGGTTAAGTGACTTGCCCAAGGTCACTCAGATAGCATCTGAGTCCAGATTTGAATTCAGGAAAATGAGTCTTCCTGACTGCAGGCTCAGTACTCTATCCACTGTACCACCCAGGTTTAAATCTTAGTTAGACTGCTGGCGAACTCTGAGGCCCCTTAGGCAAAAAACTGAATTTTTCTGTGCCTCAATTTCCTCTTTGAGGAAGAGATTAGGAATGAAGGATCTCTCAAGTCCCTGGTCCAGTTCTGAACATTTCTAACTAGCCTGGACTTTATTATGTCCATTCACTAGGAGATCACAGTTTCATGTCGCAGCCCATTACTCTGATAGAGTTTGTTCATCAGAGTAAGCACTTTGCTCAAAGACACATTCGTGAAGATTATTATTTTGGGGGGGGCTAGGCAATGGGGTTAAATGACTTGCCCCAGGTCACACAGCTAGTAAGTGTTAAATGTCTGAGGCCAGATGTGAACTCAGGTCCTCTTGACTCCAGGGCCAGTGCTCTATCCACTGCGTCACCTAGCTGTCCCTCATGAAGATTATTATCATCATTACTGTTATGTTTATTATTAATAGCTAACAGTTATATAATACTTAAGGTCTGTGAAGTGCCTTTCATTTTGTTTCCTTTAATTAATACCTACTTAAATGATCTGGGAACTACAGAAATGAAATCAAATTGAAGCAGCTGATGCCATAAAGTTGGGGAGGGAGTAGGAAGGATTGGATGGACCTGTGACTGCACTGGAATAGGGAAGTCACAAGGAGAAGCTCCCTCTGCCCCTGCAGGGCAGCCCTTGGTGTGTAAGCTGTGGCTCTAAGAGCCTGAGGGCCATGCCCCCTGGCCACAGAACCAGTAAGCACCAAGAATCTGACTGTGGCCAGCTCAGCTCCGTACCTACAAAGCCAAGCTTTGGCCTCTCCTTATAATAAACATGTAGAGAAGAATAGAGACTAGACCTGTGGCCTCCTTTGTATAGAGAACTCCCTGATGAACAAACTCTCTCTCCTAGTGAAACTTTGCAGATTCTCTGCAACCTCTACATTCTTAGAGAATTACCTAGAGCTCTGAGAGGGGAATTGACTTCCTCAGCCAGCGTATGTCAGAGATGGGACTCAAACTCAGCTCTTCCTGCCTCCAGCACCAGCTCTCTGTCTGGCCAGTACTCCACAGGACAGCTCAAAAACATCCCCGGCAATCAGTCCTCCATTCTTTTCAAGCCTGTTTTTATGCACCACAGTCCCACACATCCCTATCTTCCCATTCACAGAGTCTTGACCTGGTATTATGGGAATGCTTTCTTCTCAACAACTGAAATTAGGATTTTCAACTCCACACAAGATCATAGTTAAGTCAGGATAAATGCCCTTTTTCCCATCCTGCCCAGGGAGTGTGCCTTCTGTCCAAATCAGCACCTCCCACCTAGTCCTGTGATTCAGAGGAGGCATCACTACTTTCCTCTGCTTCTGACTCTCTAAAAGGGAGAGGGAGGAAGCAGAACCAGGTGCTGTCAGTACATCGAATGGAGGGATAAGATTTGTTAGCCTCACTACTCCTATCCTATTTCATCTTTTCTGCCTGGTAAGAAGTCTGTGAATCTTGATTTGCTGATTTTAAGTGGTGTTTGAATAAGGTTATTCTAGCAACCGTTTATAGAATGTACTGGAGTGAAAGAACTGAAGAAGAACTTAAAAATTAAAGAGCTACTTGGAACCATCTGAGGAAGAAAGGATTAGGGACTGTGTCAGGTTGAGGTAGTGAAAAGAAATGCCATACTTTCCTTTTTTTTTTTTTTCCAAGAGAAAGAATCAGTAAGAGCTGTTGATAATTGGACTTAAGGAATGAAGAAAAGTGGAAAGCTGAAAATCACAAGGTTCTAAGGCCTGGGAACTGACAGCTGAGAAGTGCCCATCATAGCACAGAGGAAGCTGTAAAGGCTGTTCCTGGGTGGTGGGAGAGGGGGCAGCACAGCAGCAGGAGAGAAGAGGAGCTGATTTTTTAGAAATGCTAAGTTTCAGGAATTGACAGTTAATTTAATTGGAGATAATGATCATGGAAAATATGGTGAGAGATGGATTGGACGCGCAGATTTAGGAGTCATCCACTTACCAGTGAAAATGGAATGAGTAGATTTGCTTCTTAAATAAGTGATCATAGAAGGAAAAGAGCAGAGGTCCTAACCTTTGGGACATCAGCGATCAACAGGAAGAAGGGAGGAGAATCAGCGGAGGAGAAGGTTGGCGGAAGGAAAATAGAAAAAGTGCGGGATATGTGAGGCCGCGGAGGCTGCGCATCCCAGAAAGCTTTCCGGCTGTGTGGTGTGGGTGAGGGGGAGCTAACATTCGTCCAGCGTAGCGCTGATTTCAGGGAGTGCTACTTTTGTATTTGTAACCACTCGTGTTTTTTTTCTTTGAATCTGGTATAGGACATGCTAGGAGAATTGTTTACTCCGGTAGAAACGCCCGAAGCTCAGAACAGAGGCTTCCTCAAGGGACTGTTTGGTGGAAGTGGACAAACGTTTGACAGGGAAGAGTTATGTAAGTAAATTCCTCCTGCGACATGCAATTTGAGAGCTTTTACTGGTGGTTTATTTTTTTTAAATGCAAAGTTCTAGAGGAGATTTTTGACTTCTCACCTAAATCTTGGTTTCTTGTCTCCATCCCCACTGGTACAAATACCTTTTGAATCTTGAACAAATGAACTCTCTTCAGAACACTAAATGTGCAATAGAGAAAGACTTACAACCACTTCATAGAATTCACACAAATAATAAGCAAACCAATAAACTTGAAATTTTGTGAAAAATAATAATGGCCAATAATTAAAACTAACATTTATGGGGCATTTATTCTCTGCCAGGCACTGTGCTCAGTGCTTTACAATTATTGTCTCATTTGTTCCCCGCAATTACCTAAGAGGTAGGTGCTATTATTATCATCCCCATTTTATAAATGAGGACCCTAAGGCAAACAGAGGTTAAGTTACTTGCCCAGGGACACACAGCCAGTAAGTTTCTGACGTCAGATTTGAATTCAGGTCTTACTGATTTCAGGCCAGGAATCCTATCTATCCATTGTGACACCTAGCTAAACAGAATAATTTATAATGAACACATTCTTAAAGTCTGAAAATGAGGTATTGTATTGATGTGGCATTGACCACTATTGCTTTGCCCAGACCTCTCAGTGCAATACAGAATACCTCTCAAACAATACAGAATAACTGATTTTAAAAATCTGTCGCTGAGAGAGAAAGCACTAGAAAGAAAACAAAGAGAAACTGAAATTTCAAGGAGAAGGGGGAACATTCCCCAGAATCCCCCAACTGTAGGATGCTCTGCTACATGAGAGTCATCACCGTGTTGCCCCTGTTAGAAAAAAAAATCAGTACTAGACCCACTGTAAACCTCAGTTTCCTCATCGGTAAAGTGGGGATAATAATAGCTGAAGTACCTATTTCACATACTGTGAGCATGGTATGAGATCATGTAAAGTGCTCTGCAAACCTTTAGGTACAGTGTAAATACTGACTGTGATGTTGATGATGATGATGATTTATTTTTATCCCCTCAATTCCTCTTAAGTTTTAAAAGAACAAAATTTCACATTCTACTTTGCTGCGGGAGTGGGTTAGTTATTTAAAGTGATGGCAGCGTTTCCTCAATAGTGGTGGTTTTAATTCCTAGTTGGGGAGGCTTCAGCAGGAAAAGCATCTAAAAGCCTTGCCCAGCACATCCCTGGGTCTGGTGGAATCGAAGGAGTCAAAGGAGCCGCCGGAGGGGTAATGGGAGAATTGACTCGTGCCCGAATTGCTCTCGATGAAAGAGGACAGAGACTGGGTGAACTCGAAGAGAAGACCGCTGGGATGATGACCAGCGCTGAAGCATTTTCCAAACACGCCCATGAGGTAGGTGACCCAAGCGAAGAGAGGCACTTCTCCCTTGGTTTCTCTGTTGTAACAATGATTCGCTTACTTTGACTTCAGAAGAACCATTATTTCATCAGAATAGGTATCCCATCCATCAGGGCAGATCACCATCCATCCATGCCATGGAAAACGGCATGGATGAGTTGCCAGGGCCAAAAAAAATTCATGCCTGAGAGGCCAACCTTCTAGTGAGGAGCCTCCCCAGTAGAGAGCATGGAGGGTCAGTCTTCAGTGGCATACCCACCCTCGGGCTTTAACTTTGCCAATACGGAAAGCCTTCACAGCTTGGCAGTATCTGCCAGACCCTGTGCTGTGCTGGCATCAGAAGTCCTTGCTCAGGAAGGTGAGTAGGAGGCCTTTGGCCTTTACATACAAAGTGAAACAAGCTAGAGGTAACAGGGCTCCAGCCAGGGTGAAGTTAAGAACAGAATGGATGAGTCATCTTGTGTTAACTGTTTCATCATCAGCAAAACAGGGAGGACACATTCCCAGTCTACATCAGGGGAAAAAGCTACATAAATAGTATTATAATTTGCCAGCTATTTGGGGAACATGACTTTTTTAAATATTAAACTTGTCTAAATGTAGTTTGTTGAGTTTTTTCGCTTGGAATATGATTATTGAAGTGTCCTGAAACTAGAGTCCTGTGGGGTTCTGTGACATATCTGAAAAATGGGCCAGCTGTTTGCTAAGGTGTTGCTTAGATTGTATAGCCCCAGGAAAAGCATGTTTTGTGCAGAAAACTGGGCTGGGCTCTTGCTTCCCTCCTTTTATGTGACATGATTGTTAACCTCATTTTTTCTATGGCTTCTTTGGGATTTTATGAAAAGGAATTTCATAAAAAGAACAAAAAACTGTCAGAGTTAATCAAATTTTATCACAAAATAAGTCAGAGAGGGGTTCATATTCCTACAGGAAATGAAGGAAAAGATTTCTCCTGTGGAGAGCAGACTGAGGTTGCATACCCTTATTATTTAAATAACTCAAGGATAGTTCATGAACAATCCAGGGCCCCCCATCTCAGTGGGAAGTGGGATGAAATTGGAAGCGGGAATAGGGGACAGTCTTCTATTTCCTATGCATGTACGTGGAGCAATTACTTTCCAACTTACTTTAAACCAAGATTTTCAACCTGTTTTGTGTCATGGACTCCTTTGGCAGTCTGATGAAGCCTGTGGACCTCTTTTCAAAATAATTAGGTTTTTTTTTTCCTTAAACTCATAATTTAAGGAAATGTTAAATTTTAGTTAGAGATAAGTGAAAATAAAAATGTAAATTTTTCCCATCCAAATTCATGCATCTCCTGATATTTACCCATCTTTGAGGGTCCATGGATTCCCAGTTAAGAATCCCTCCTTTAAACAATGAACTCTGTGGCAAAATTCCCCTTTTCCTCCATCCAGGAAAAGCAGTTTTAAATCATGGCCCAATGTGGCTAGGATGGAAGTTGGGTCAGGGGCTTGTAGGAATAGCATACAGACTAAAGGTGAGTGAACACCTAAAAAAGACAGTGGATTGAGCAAGACAAGATAGTACATATAAAATATCTCAGTCTGATAGCTGGGACATGACCTCTGTGCCCCTCCCTCTCTTATTAGAGAGAAGCTTGGAACTTCATTACCATATCTGTGATCTGGCTAATCACAAAAGAAAGGCCTGCCTTCACTCCATGGAGATGGCCGTTTTCTGTGATTAAAAATTTCTTTATAAAAATTTTAATGTGAATCTTATTATACAATTAGCTGTTGCCTCCTGTGCCTACAGTGAATCCCTTCTCTACTTCACTACGTACGCTCCATATCCTGAAATTCTCTCACTTTAGCTGTTCACTCTTACCACATACTGGAGCTTGACAGAGAGGGTGAGATGCCAGCAAGAGAGGAGAGCAGGAATGGGGGGAGGCCAGAATGGGGAGGTGAAGGAAAGGGGGAATCATCTTAAACAGAGGAAATGTAACTCCTTTTTCATTCTTGAAAGGTAACAACAAATTTTGAAAGCCAATCTCATTGAAGGCTGAGGGTGGTGGTGGCAGAGAGGGAGCAAACAGATCTTGTTTGGTCATACTTCTCAAATCCTACTGTTCAGACTGAGTCTTCAGAAGTTAAGTTGGATAATTCCCAAATTGGTCTCCTTGGCATCAGTTATTTCCCAAAGTAAAAGAAGCTGTAATGTTTTGATTGGTTTAGATCTGTGTGATTCATCTCTTAGTGGAATATACGCCAATCCTGAAGAGCCCTTTGAAAGGTTCCATTCTGGATCCCAAATGGCCCTTTGAATTCTAATATTCTTTGACTCATTGACATTTTGTTTCTTTTGTAGTTGATGCTGAAGTATAAGGATAAGAAATGGTACCAGTTTTAAGGCTGCTACAGAGACTGCAACAGCACTAAGAAATCATCATTCAGGGAAACAGTTTATTCCCAGCATCACCATTCAATGCTAGAAGCCACAGTTTCTTCTGTGAAATGTTTCACAGTGATTCATCTGAGGTTACCACAAGGGAGACTTAAACAGGGAAGGTTGTCACCCCAAAGACTGGACCCCTGACTTAGATTGGTCTTCTAGTGTCCATTCCAAGATTCTGTTGTCACTGGCCTTCTCCCAAGTGGACTGGAGCTGTCATCTCGGCATGTAGTTTTTCTGAGGCATTCTGTGTAAGAACCACGGGGAGTCTTTCTGGCTAAAAATATCCTGTACAAACTAAAACATTAATGCACTTAATAAAAAAACAAAAACCTTTGCATGATAAATTAACATCTTAAGAGGAAAAGAAAAAAAAAGCATGTTGTGACAGAAGAAAAAAAAAGATTTATGGTAAGCCAAGCAAACTATTTTAAAGATCAGCCCAATTCTACAATTAAAACAAAATCTGCATTAGAAGATGCCCATGCATTTCAAGTATATTTGCTATACACAACTAAGGGGGAAAAAAACCACCAGAGTTCCCTTCTCATCTGTAACTTATATTTTTCATGGAACTAATGACATTATTGACTTTTTATGGGCAAGAGTCTGGTTAACATTCTATTCTCTCCATAAAGCCTTTGCATTATTCAGAGTTCTTGAGTTGTAACATCTGGCCATTGTCCAGTGCAGGAAACAATCCCCTACTAAAATGCATCTGTTTTCTCAGGATGAGCTGAGTTTCCAGTAGGGAGCTGAATATATTGTTTTAAAAGCCTGGATTGTAAATTCTGCTGGGAGCTAATGGTGGGTTTGGAAAGCAAGGCTGTGCTATCACAGCCATTTGGTTAGCTTTGGGAGCTCAGCAAGTGAAAACATGCCCAGCATGTTTCAGAGGGGT